CGTATGATAGATCTTCAAAACAACAAAATAAAAGAGATCAAGGAAAATGATTTTAAAGGACTTTCATCACTATATGTAAGCTTATTTTCTGAACTTCCTCTCAAGATACGCTATCATGCTTCATTTTATCTATATTTCTATCTACCTACCTACCTACCTTCCTACCTACACACACACAGAGAGACATTTGTGTGTGTGTATATGCTGAGTAACAACATAAAAGTAATATAAATTGATGTGTAAGGCAATACATAAAGATAATTGTTTTGGAAAATCAGTAATTTGATCTATACTAATAATATTTTCAAAACTGAGCAATGTGCGATCATTTTATTAATCTATAGTAAAAGCAAAAGATAAAATCTAATGTGTAATATTAGAATTAAATCTAATTTTCCTTTGGAAGTCTTTAGTGACTCCTTTTCCATGTTACTTGTGCTTTATTCAAATCATACATAAACAATTTCATGTGGAATTTTATTTAAGTTTGAGTACTTAAAAAAAAACCCAATATATTTCCATTTAAAGAATATCATACTCTGTCCTTTTAAGTGAGAACTTTAAAATAAAATCAATGCCTAACATTAAGCTCATATTTTGATTAGGCCCTTGCCTTGAACAACAACAAAATAACAAAGATCCATCCTAAAGCGTTTCAGTCAACAAACAAGCTGCGGCGCCTCTACTTGTCCCATAATCATTTAACTCAGATCCCAGAAAATCTGCCAAGAAGTTTAGCTGAGATAAGAATTCATGACAACAAAGTTAAAAAGATTCATAAAGACATATTTAAGGGAATGAAGTCTTTACATGTTTTAGGTAAGTGTATTATTTTTATAAATCTGCTGCACAATAGTGGGGGGTGGGGAAGCTTACTCTGTGAACCCCACCAGAATCACAGAGAGATGGGCAGTGAACAAATTTAATAAATAAATAAACCATTAGATGAGAAACTTAGATTGTACAAACTAAAATGGAAAAAGGGTAAGAGAGGTAATGCTTCTTGGTGGATAGCACGAAAATCTGTCTGCATGTTGAAAAGGGATATAAATAAAAATCATTGGCTTCTTTTGTGTGTGTGTGTGTGTGTGTGTGTGTGTGTTTGTGTGTGTGTGTTTGTGTGTGTGTGTGTGTGTACGCACGCGCGCGCGCACACACACACACATTTTTTTGAGATCGGGAATCAGAATTTCATTTTTTAATGTGTGCCAATGTGTTCATAGAAACACATTAAAACCATATATATCAAAAATAAAAGTTAGCTTATTTGTTTATATAGTTTCACTGTAATATTCCCTAGGCGAAATGCTTCATTTTTTATATTTCTGACTACCTACAGATTTTCCACTGTATATTTTTGGAAATGTATTCTTGTACATATTGTCAAAATATTCCCAGGTTCAAATTACCATGCAAAGGTTTGCTTGCAATCTTCATGACATTTTCTATAAAAAGCCAAAATGTCATTACTAGGAGAGAAAAATTATGGAATTCTGATACATGAGCTATAATTGAATAAAATAATCACTCAAAGCTAAAGTAGACTGCATCATATGGCATAAATATGGACACAAACCAACAGTTATGTAATATTACAATGGCAAATCTTGCCTCATTTCAAAATTCCTAAAAACCTCTTTTGTGAAATAATGTTTTATTTTGTAAGGATTGTCTAGATTTAATAATTTTATGGAATGTTGAGGTTTGTAATTTTTGTTTAAAGATGAATAGGGGTATTGAGCTTCTTCTATCATCAACACAAAGGAAGACAAAGGAAGGCAAACAAATTAATCTTCTTCAAACATAATATATACCTATACTTCACGGTTTTTGGGCTTAATGTGACATACGATGTCAGTGTTCCAAGTAACCACCTCCAAATTAAAAGACTTCAAGACTGTCATCTTATCCATTTTATTAGAGATGACATATTGGCACATCTGAGGAAAACCTGAATCTGAGATTCTGCTTGCTGTATTTTCTATTTTTTGAGATCGTATTAAGCCAAAAACAAATGAAACACTCATATAAAAA